GAGCAGTCCTGGCAGAGGGAACAGCCTACGTAGAGACCAAGAGCAGGAGAGCTCTTGGAGCGCTGGGGAAACTGAGGAAAGCCAGGGTGGCCAAAAGGCCAGTGACGGGGCAGAGAGAGGAGGGAGGACGGTACCAGGTGAGACCATGGAGACAGAGCTGTGACACTACCCAGTGAAGGTTTTCAAAGAATCATTTGGGGTCCTGAGTGGAGAATCAAAGCTAGGCTCGTCTTTAGAGAATTTATTTCTTTCGTTTTTTATTGAGGTCATATTGGTTTATAACATTATATAAACTTCAGCTGTACATCATTATATCTCTACTTTTGTATAGACTGGATCGTGTTCACCACCAAAAGTCTAGTTGCCATCTGTGACCACACACACGTGCCCCTTTACCCCTTTGCCCTTTTTATGGATGAATGAATGGATTCCCCTCATGTGTTGGTGATGCATAGGGAACAGGAGTATTCTGTAGAACAGAATTCCCCCTGTTTCCCCAACACATGAGGGGGATCAGTCATTCATCCACAAAAAGGGCAGATGGTAAGTGCTTTCCATGATCACAAAGCTTGATTGTGGGTGAGGAGGGGCGGAGTGGGGAGACAACATGGAAACTGAAAGAGATCTGGATGTGCCAGCTCCGAGATCAGCTCCATCCCCTCCAGCTTTGTGACTTTGGGCGCTCACTCTGACTCTCTCAATTCAGGCTCCTCATCTGCCAGACATGACTGCTCACCCCCCCACCCCCCTCTCTGGGTTGCTGTGAGTGTCTGGTGGGATCATGCTTGTGAGAGCTGTGAGAGTGCTCTACAAGTGTGAGATGAGAGTCAACACCATGCTATTGTTATTGTTGTTATTATCATCTGTTTATCCTCGCCTGCTGAGCCTACTCTTCAGGGCTGTGAATGTATTTGAAGGGCTGGGTGATCCTCCTCTCTTAATTCTCCTTGTGTTGGAGTTGACTTGCCTTTGGGCCTGGGCCACTGTGGGAATGGAAAGCTCATTCCAGAAACAATTCAGATTCCACGGATCTCACTGAAGGCTGTGGGCAGAAGAGACCCATGGGGCTGGGTGTGGGGAGGTGAAGAGGAGGAGGCAACAAGGGCTGGACACAAAGGGGATGGGAGGAGGAAAGGGGTTATTGCTACTTGTCCCGGAGGTGAGTCTACTCAGGCAGATCACAGTGGGGCTTTGTATTTGCAGGGCTTGTGGAATGTTCCAGGCTTTTTGGGGGAGACAGATCTGGGTGCAAGTTCTGGATCTAGGTCTTACTAACTGTGGGATCTAGATCATAAGGACAAATGCAAATTAAAAATAAGAGGCTTAGTTCTCCCTGCTGGAAATAATGGAAGAGATTTCCCTCCTCTCCTTTTCCCAGGGCGTTTACTTTAGAAAACTTGTAAGTACTTTTTCCTCTCTTTTAAATGTATATAAATCAATCTTACTGCAATAAACAAAAAATTAAAAAAAAAATGTAAATGTATATAAATCCTTTTGAGGACTAGACAGGCCTTTTCTTTCTCAGGACCTGGGGGCCATCTCTTTGAAATGCGAACATCAAGAGAGATAGCAGCCCCATCTCCCAGTTTCTGTGGGAAGGTAGGTGCCTAACTTAGGTAGGCACCTTGCTCCAAGTTGCAAAACTACCTCCTGTCATAAAGATATGAGAAGTTTGTTTTTCTGCCAGAGAAAGCCAGTTAGCTAACACAGATGGTTGCCCCAATTCCAAGGTGAATTCAGGATGAACTGTGTGTGACGAATGGTGCCGTCAAGTCTTCTTGAGTTGTTGTTTATGTTGAGAACATGTATGGAATGGCTTGCATCTTCTTGGCTATAGGGAAGGGTGAGATTCCATTCGTCTTTGCAATCTCAGTGGATTGCCTGTGATGCAAGCGCATAACTCCCTGGTTTAAAGCTTATTCAATAATAGAAGTGTTTTCTTTCTCTACTACCTTGGTGGAGAGGATTTCTGGGATGGGAGAAGATTTTGTTTTCAATTATATTTCCCCAACATGAGCAGGCCATGCTACATCTCTGATCCTCTTTGTCCTACTTGGAAAAATATGGGCAGCCCTAACTGCCCCCTGGCCCAGGAGCCCCGGGTGGGCGATTCTGAGGATGAAATGGGATTTGGTTTGTGAAGCTCCTCGCTGGGAGGCTGGCCTAGGGATGAGGCTCAGTCGTTGGTAACAGTTGTAGCTGCTTCCCTCCCTGATATTACTGATAGCATGTCTCCTGTGGTCCTGCGAGGGGCAGCTTGACACTGCAGAGGAGAGCACGGAGCAGGGAGTCAGATGACCTTGTTTCTGGCTTTAGGCTGGATGACCTTTAAAGGCCTGTTTCCTCCAATGGCCTGTATTGTCTGATGGCTTTCTTCTGTAATGGGGTCGGTGGCCTGGACTTCAGGCACAGACAGCATTCTAGCCACGGGTGCCTTCCTTCTCTCTTCCAGGAGGCCTTCCCTGAACCACCCCTACCTCCAGGCTGGGCTAGGAGAACATCTGGAATTCCTCTGCACATGGCCTATTTCCTTGTCCATCTCACGCATCAGACTTGGCCAAGATCAAGTTTTCCTGGTAGCTGCCTGGTGCCGGGCATAGCGTGACAATCACGTCACAGTAACCGTGTGCATGTAGCTCTTCCCATATTCCCATCATACAAACTGCTCCTGCGTGTGCCTTATCAGTGCTGTCGGAATATGATATTAGTATCATCTTTTGGTAGAAAAGGAAACAGGTTCAACAAAATGAAGCCATGTGCCTATTTTCACTCAGTAGAGGTGACTAAGCTGGGATTTAAATTCAGGCATTGAAGAGCCATGACATTTTGCTGTTGTGTCCACCCAAGCTTTGCTCCATGACTGGTTTCCCCCCTGAATCCCATCTTCTCCTATCTCCTCTGAGCTGGTTATTCACTCTCTGCTCTTCTTGGCCCTGCCCTATGCCCCGCGAGGCTGACCTCTGGGCACACTTGCTCCCTGGCTCCTTTGAGCCCGGCTTCCAGTTGAGTCTGGACAATGGGATAAGAGGCTGGGAGCAGAAGCAGTCGGTTTTCCTCCCCTCTTCCTGCTTCCTTCCGGCCTTCCCTCTACTCAGCCCTTAGCTCCTCCAGGCAGGCCTTCTCTACGTTTTAGGGTCTCCTTGGGTTCCTCTAAAACTCCTCCCTCCATTTTCCCCTTCAGGCCAAGGGTGGTGATGGGCTTCCCACTGTTGCTGACCCCAGAATGCTTCCAGCCCTTGAATCTGTCTGCATCTCAGCAGGCAGACCCTTCTTTGAACCCCTTTCGAACTCTTGAAACATTTGTCTTGAAGTTCTCTTCTCTGATGGGCCAGCTGTTCCTCCTCAGGTCTCTGATTGCTACATGTGGTCCAGCCTCACCCACGTTTCCCTTTCTCTTTCTTCTGACGTACCAAGAAGTTACACGGCCTGGCCAAACCACAGCTCCAAACCTCCCCACATGTCTGTTCTCCACGGAGATTGGTTTAACTATAACGGAACGGACAGTAGTAGCCTTTTCATCTCTTGAGTCCTACAACAAGGCAGACGCTATCCCCTGACTGGGCAAGTCACTGGCCCCCTCTAGGCTGTGCCATTCCACCTGATGGTCTCCTAGATCAACAGATGTGTTCTCTGGCTTCTGCCAACATAGAGGATCTCAGATATCATGTTGGGCAGAGGGAGTGTTTCCCTTTAACACTCAGGAGAGCTCAGTTCCTGGAAGCCACTCAATGCCTGATTCAAGGACAACCATCTCTTTCTGGCTAAAGAGAGACAGAGTTCCAGAGTGCTGACCAGTTGCTGCAATTTGGCTTTGTCGGGACAAGCCCCATGGTGATCTCAGGGTCACAGCTTGACCTCCCATGCCCTGCAGCTGACCTCCCATGCCCTGCAGCTCTCTTCTAACACGAACAGCATTTCCGGGTCATCTGCATATTTCTACATTTTCTGAACTATGGCGTGTGGCCATAGATGCTACTGCCTGAATCACAGTCTGTTGCTGACCCTGATGGGGTGGTGAGAGTTACACATTAGCCATGGCTTGCTCACCATGTCTCTGCTCTGAAGTTGGCCAGCATTGCGTAGAAGGCAGGTTTCCAATTAAACCAATTGAAAAGCTTGTTTTTTCCTCTGGAATTTAATACTTTGGACTGAAATTAAATCAGTCATCACAGATGATGCAGGAGAATCTTTTAAAAGGAGTATTACTTGAATGACCCATTCTTCAGGCTTTAAGGTTTTTGATGTTCCTAGTCCAGAATTATAAGTTTTCCCCTTGACACCTGTAACTCCCCCACCATTGCACCATTGGTCACCAGGACCTAAGCTCCCTGACTCCCTGCCCCCAGCAAGACCTGAGAGATAGACAATCAGGCAGGAGGTTCTTTCTTGAGCATTGAAAAAGAATATTTCTAAACCCAAGACAGGGGGTTGATTAAATAAACTATAGCACATACATATACAGGAATATACCACAACCATCTATAGTCTCATGCTGCTGTGAATTTATTAAAAATAAATAAAATCATAACATATTAGGAGACTCAAAATAATCCCATCTAATTAAAAACTATGGAATTATATACCCCAAAATGTTAACATTTTAGAGTGGTTACTTCTATGGGATTATGAGTAATGATAATTATCTTCTATTCCCTATCTGTGTTTTCTGACTTTTTTCAATGACCATGTGTTGGTTATGTAATTTAAAGAGTTTGTTTTTTTTAAAGAAAAGAAATGTTCTCAAATTATCAGTGCACTGTGATCATAATTTTCTAAAAATATGTGGCTTGAGGTTGTTCCCATATAAACATAAAAAGGGACAATTCATTCCCTGGAAATATTGAGAACAAAACCCAAATTGGACCTCTCCACTCCTCACATTCTACATTTCCTTTGCATGTTGAAGCAAGGAATGTGATGGGCAAGGAGCTCTGTCAGAGCTGCAAGAGCTGGCAGGTGCTCACAGAGGGTCCCCAGGGTTGGTGGGGAGTCTTGCTTACCTGGAACACACAGGCTTCTCTTTGAGCCCGGAGCTGGCCCACGAGCAGATAGGCGGTGAGTCCTGCCAGGATGGGGAGCAACACCAGGCAGCAGGTGAGAGCCCAACGTGTGTTGCTGCCTCTCCTCCTGGCTGCTAGCCTGGCTCTGGCCTTCGGGCTGCAGCTGCCTTCCTCGGGCAGCATTTCCACGCTGGCTGTTTCCCCAAAGCCCAGCCCCAGATCCTCTGCCATGCTCCTGCTGGTCCTGAAGATGCCTCTGACTCCTCCTGGGCAGAGAGACCCCCCCATTAAATAGAAGAGCTGCTCTCACAGTGGGTGAATTAATCGCTGCCTACTCCTCCCCCTGGCCTCTCTCCCTCCCCTCTCCACAACACTCTGAGCCCTGCCCCGAGAGGGAAAGCACCGCCTACAACAGAAACTAAGTTTGGTTTAAGGAAAAAAAAAAAGAAGAAGAAGAAATCTTTCCCAAGCATATTTATATACAATGTACTCATGTGCTCCTTCCTTCATTTACAGAAGGAAGTTAGGAAAGTCCCTGGAGGAGGAGAAAAAAGAATTTATCAAGGCAGTGGGTGGGGCAAATTAAAATATACCTGCTCCCTGGGCTGGAGTCCTGCCAGCTGTGCCAATCTGGGGAGGGTGCTTCTTCTGGAAGTGAAAGTGAGGGATGGGGAAGTGTGTGGTGTGGCTTGCAGAGTGGGAAATGGAAACCACACTTGCATCACCACTTTGCAATGTGCTGGCCAAGCGCTCTGTCTTTTTGAGCTTTATAGGAGCTCATTCCCATTGCGCGGATGGGAATACTGAAGTTCTGGAAGGCGAAGGCAGTTGCCCTAGGTCATCCAGGGATTAAGACAGAGGAGGTAGGAAGACGGTCTACTTCTTCTAAATCATGGTTTGGGATTCTTGCCTCTACCACACAACTGCCTGTGAAAGGAAAATGTATTTCTCGCTTGTATTGACCAATTGTCTAAGCAAAGGGTGTGAGGTCATAGAGGTGATTGTTCGGGAGGGAAGGACATTGACTTCTACTCTCTGATTAACTGAGCACCAGTGATAGCCCTTGCTCACAGCTGGGTGTGTACGGGGGCCACAAAATGTAATGAAGCCTAACATCTATAAACACTTCCTTTGTGCCATCACTGTTCTAAGTGAGTTAAATGCGTCAATGAAAGTATTCAATCCTGAGACAAGCTTTTGACGTAGTAATGTTATTATTCCCACTTGACAGATAAGGAAATTGAAGCGTAGAGAGTAAGCCATAAAGCCAGGATTGGGACCTGGGCAGGCTGGCTCCAGAGCTTCCTAACCATTGCACCACACTGCACATGTTGCTGTATAGTGCCCGCCCTCAGATATCTGCACCCATTCTACCCAGGAGGAGGTTGTCCATTCCAGTTGGGGGTTGAGAGGCTTCCTGGAGAAAGAGGTGGTGTTGGGACTAGGCCTTGAAGCTTAGGGAGGGCGATATTGGAGAAGAGCAGAGGACCCTGCCAAAAGATGGGTCACAGAAAGGAAAGCTTCAGGACGTCCTGTGGCATGTGGTGGTGGCCCGTCTGACTAACGCCTCCCTTCAATTGCTGCTTCTGCGTATATCACAGCCTAAGCCCTTCAGGCTACTTGGATAAAGCTTTCATGACCCGGTCCCTGCCCACCATCATCCCTCCCAATGTCCAGCCTCATCTCTTACGACTTTCCCTTGGCTGCAGTTCTCCTCAAAGCACTATGGACCAGCTGCACTGTTGCACATACTGTTCCCTCCACTGTGAAAGCTTCTAGTCCCTTCCCTTCATATCACCACCCTCCCCTATTTTCAAAACTTCGTATAGAAAACTGGCCCGCATCTTCCTGCCTCCAAGATTGGGTGAGATACTCTTCTAAGTTCTTATAGCTTCTCATTCTTCCCCTATCATTGAAGACTGTGATTGACTACTTTTCCATTACCCCCATTAAATCATCAAATCTAAGCGGGCAGGTACTAGCTCACATCCCTTCCCTGTGGCTGTAGCTCTGACATAGCGACTATCACATAGTAGACTTAAGAAACATCTATTGAAATAAATGTCTAACGTATTTCAAAAGAATCCGAGCACAGGATGATTTTATGTCCCAAGGATTAAACACGTTCTTGGTTTAAGAAACCTAGTAAGAAACTTTTCCTTCAGAAAAAATATTTGCTATTTTAACTTTTAAACACATAATTATACTTAATATTGGACCATCTTGAAGAAGTTTACAAATGTGTTCTTACCCTTGTATTTCTTTTGTAGAAAGTTGATATGCTTGATCAAACTAAGGTCTTAAAAGTGGTAAATGTATGGGCTCAAATGAAAAGGTATATATTATCAGTCACAATATAGGAAAGCCTCAAAAGATTGTAAATAATAAAAACACCAGATTGGGGATCTGGAGACCTGGCTTTAGGTCCCTCTACTGTGTGACATTGAGAACTCTAGTAGACTCTCCCTGTTTAGAGTATTTGGCTATTTGCAAAATGTAATAAATGTGAATTGTTACAATTCTGTTTAAAGTAAGGGTCAGTGGATTCTGAGTTTGTGCCTGGGGAATGTCCTATGGGAAGAGAATAAGAGTTTTATGGCATGGACTCATAGCGGTCTGTTCAAGATAAATGTAGATGTAGATTTATATGTAGTTGTAAGAAATAATACAGGGAGATCTTATATACCCCACTCAGCGTTCCCCAGAGGCAATACCTTGCACAACCATAGTATAATATCACAACCAGGAAATTGACATTGACAGTCAGACTCCGCCAGTTTTATATGCAACTCATTTGTGTATATGTATTTAGTTCTGTGCAATTTACCACACGTGTAGATTCGTGCGACCACACCACAGTCAAGATGCAGAAAATCTCCATCCCAAGGGTCCCTCAGGCTACATTTTACAGGGAGAGCTGCTGCCCTCCCTCTCCTCCCGCCTTAAACCCTGGCAACTGCTAATCTGCTCTCCAACTCGATAATTACATTATTTCACAAACGTTATGTAAATGGAATCATGCATCCTTTTGAAGTTGGCTCTTTTTTACTCAGTATAATTTCTTTGAGTTTCATCCAAATTATTGCATAATTAAGAATTTATTTCTTTTGATTGCTCAATGGTAATCCACGGAGTGGATATAACACAGTTTCTTTAACCAGTCACCCACTGAAGGACATTAGGTTTATATCCAATTTTGAGTTACAGTGAATAAAGCTGCTATGAATATTGGTGTACAGGTTTTTGTGTGAACATGTTTTCACTTCTCCGGTGGAAATGTCCAAGACTGGAGTGGCTGGGTTGCATGGTAAGCACCCGTTTAGTTGTGTAGGTAATTGTCATACTCTTTTCTAGAGTGGTTGCATCATTTTATTTCCCACCAGCAATGTGTGAAAGAGCTAACATCTTCTCTGTATCCTCTCTCCAGCATTTGGTGTTGACACTATTTTTTTGTTTTTTTATTTTAGCCATTCTGGTTAGTGTATGTACAGTGATATCTCACTATGGATTTAATTTGCATTTCCCTAATGGCTAACAATGTTGAACATCTTCTCATGCACTTATTTGCCATCTGTATAACCTCTTTGGTGATACAGATGTTTTGGCTGCTGCAAGGTACGTTTTGTTTCCTTCTTGACTCTCAGTGGATTCCAAAGCAGAAGGTAAATTGCTTCCAGGTAAATGATAAGTTATTGCACTTGACTGCTGACTAAATAGTGTTCTAGATATTGGGGATAAAGCGGTGAAGAGAGCAGACAAAAATCTCTGCTTTCATGAAGTTTGTATTCTAGTGGGGAGGGAGATGGCCAGTCAACACAATAAGTAAGTTAAATTTATAGTATATTAGATGGTCTTAGAGCTGTAGGAGAAAAACAGAGAAGGAAGATAGGGATTTACTTTAGTTGTAATTTAAGTAAGATGGTCAGAAAAGGCCTCAGTGAGAGGAGACATTTGAGTGAAGATCTGAAGAAGAGAGGGGAGGCCCTGTGTGTGTCTGGTAGAAGGGTGCTCCCAGTCTTGAAGCAGATCTGTTCAAGGAGCATCAAGGCGGCCAGGATGGCTGGAGCAGTGAGTGAGGAGGAGAGTAGGGGTGATGAGGTCAGAGTGGTATTGGAGGGGGCTGGCCATGCCCGACCTCCAAGCATGGGTGGGACTTAGCTTCTCCTTCACTGAGGTGGGGAGTCTTCGGAAGGCGTAGGGCAGAAGGGTGGCAGTTTCTGATTTCACTTCGAAAGGATCATCCTGGCTGCTGTGTTGAGAGGAGCCCGAAGGGAGAAGGGTGGAATCAGGGAGACTACTTTGGAAACTACTGCAATAATCCAGGTGAGGCATGATGGTGGGATGGATACGGTGGAGGCAGTGAGGGTCACTAGAAATGGTGGATTCCGGAAATATTTTGAAATACAGCAGACATAATTTTTTATTGAGCTGGATATGAGGCAAGAGAGAAAGAGAAGAGAATACTCTGGGTCCAAGGTTCTTGGCTGGAGCATCAGAAGGATGGAGATGCCCTTAGTGGAGACAAGGAAGACTGTGCGAGGGAGCTTGAGAGCTCGGATCAAGACGTGCACCATTTAAGGTGACCTCTAGACAACCAAGTGGAGATGACATGATGAGAAGGCAGTTGAGTGATGAGTGTGGGGTCCTGGGGAAAGGCTTGAGCGGAGATATTAATTTGAGAGTCACTCTTGGTGCAGCACCTATCACATAGTTATTGCTCCAAAGTAGAGACTCCTCTTTTGATTGCAGGTCCTCATGTCCTTAATCCAAAATCCTTGGGTCCAGGCTTTAGAAAAGCTTTAAGTTGAACCATATAAAATTGCCTCTTCTGACCATTTTTGACCTCCAGTAATAATAATTTCATGTGGTTAACCCTAATAACACACACTATATGACTTATATTACAGAACACTCTCGGTGAGGTCTGGAACAGCACCGTATAACCAAACACAGAGATATTTCTGCAGCCCAGCATACTCAGACTGAGTGGGATAGGCAAAGACTAGATGCAACACACATGCCCTCAGGTCAGCTTTTGTTGCCAAATGCGTCATAATAGCTTTCAGATTTTTAGAGCCTTTTGGATTTTGGACTTGTATTACTTTCATTGTTGTTGTTAGTGTTATTTTATCATTCTGTGTGGCCTCCAGAGAGTTGAAATAGGCCAATGAGTGGGAGGTACTGCTAGGCGTATTTCAGCTTAATTTTGAGACTGTCAATGTTATTCAATGGTAAATGATGCTGCTTCCAAAGGTGGGAGCTCTCTCTACC